GGAAGTGAAACTGTTGCCCACAATCACTCACACTAGGGTAGGATGAGTAAGCTGGGGAAATGGTTCTCTTTGCCTTTTCCAGAAGGCAGAAAGCCAGAAAGGATTGTCCAGCTGTGACCTGAGCCCTGGGACCCTTGGATCCCTCAGCACTGGAGGGACAGGAAGTCCCTCACAATCTGGCTCCCATCTACCTTCTGGAACTTCCTTCTTTTCACTACACACTCCATGGCTCCACACAACTCAGTATTCCTTCCCCAGGTGCCAGATTGTCACCCTTCTGATTTCCCCTAACTTCCCGGGCGGCAGCCGCAGCACTTTATCTGACTCTCTCTTAAGGCATGAGCCCTTTTCTCCCAGAGCCTGAACCACTTGGAAACATAACTTAGATCTTTTCTAGACCCCTGGCTGGCAGCAGGAGGAGCTAGCCGGAATTGATCCCTGTGTTTTCTTGCACCTTGGTTGAGATTTCTTAGAAACAAAGTGGCTGTCTGCTTTGCAGCCCACACAGAAGGGGTAGGATAGCGTGTCTGGGAGAACATGACTTAGGAAGCAGAGACGGGTGGGGGTGGGGTGGTACAACTCCTTTCCAGTTCTTTCCAGTTGGTACCCTTGAGCAAGTTACCTATCTTCTCTAAGCCTTGCGTTCCCTCTGCTTTTAGAAGATGAAAGACTAAGAGGCAAAATGCCTTGTAAGATAAACGGCACATTTTTGGTGTCCAGTAAATGTTTGCTTATCACTCATCCCTTCTACAGTCTCATGGCTTGATACGTGAGGAAAGAGATAAATTGATACTGGACCATGCCTGGTCTCGGCCTGACGGACTGCAGTATTTCGGGTCTGGTTGCCCTCTTCTCCAGGAATACCCACCCACCAGCCCACAGGATCCAATCCATTCCCTTCCTGGCCACCTCAGGCCCAGAGTTTACATGCTGAAATTCCCAGAAGCTGAGACTTCCAAACAAACCCCCAAGTTTGGATTTATCAGCCGTGCTATTAAAACAGTAATTTTCAGCTGCCTAATGTTTCCAACTTCTGCTCTAATCCAGCGGGTAAATATTTACGGAGCCTGACACCACTCCTAGGCCACTTGCTCTGCTGCCAAGCATTCATTTCCCTTGCAGCCCTGTTGGTTTGATACTTTTAGAAGCAGAGGAGGATAGAGGCAGTATGTGCACATGCGCACATGTTTCTGCTGGTGTATGAGGGCAGGAGAGAGACGTCCTCGTGATATATTCTTGGGTGTGGAAAGACATATGATAGAGTAGGCTGTTGGGGAGTATTATTATTTTAAGGTGTGTTACTTTTGTTTATGTTGCATTTGTTTAACTCTGTGAAGCTGTGTTACTGTGCCTGTCTAAAACACCTGATGGCCTAATAAAGAACTGAACGGCCAATAGCAAGGCAGGAGGAAGGATAGGTGGGGCTGGCAGGCAGAGAGAACAGATAGAAAGAGAAATGAAGAAAGGTCGAGAGAAGGAGGAGGACTCCAGGGGCCAGCCACTCAGCTACACAGCCAGCCACAGTGTAAGAAACAAAGGAAGGTGTACAGAAATAGAGAAAGATAAAAGCCCCAAGGCAAAAGCTAGATAATTTAAGTAAAGTTGGCTAGCAACAAACCAAGCTAAGGCCAGACATTTATAATTAAGAATAAGCCTCCATGTGTGATTTATTTGGGAGCTGGGTGGCAGGCCCCCCAAAAGAGAAAAAACAACCAACAACAGTAGGCCTTGCTACTTCCTTCTACCTAGATCTCTCCTGCTGTGGGGGGATGCACCCAGATTATTAGACACCCACCTCCTCTGTTTCCACCACCTTCCTCACACATGTGTGCACACAGCTGGATGCAGGAAATGGGTTCATAAACTACCCATAGAGATACTTGAGAGCCTGCTTCAATTTGATTACTTGCTAGGTAGGTGGCTCTGATCATGTCCCTTCGATACTGTTTCCTCATCTGTGAGATGGAGGTAAGGACCCGCCCCCCCACACCCCCTGAAAACACCTCTCTTCTACTACTTCTTCCCCCTTTATACCCATGGCCTAAAGCCACAACAGATGGGAACCTAGGACAGCCTCACTGTCACTATGGATTTTTGTCCTTTTTGTTTGTATGTTTCCTCCAGCACTGAGTATTGACCCAGGGCCTTATGCTTGCTGGGCAAATGTTTTAGCACTGAGCCACACCCCAACCCTCACTAGTCCTCATTGAGCATTTTTAATGAATGAAGGCTGAGTCATACTTTTCTCCACAACCTCTATATTCAGCACAGACACAGCCAAGGTATTCAATGAGCAGCTCTATTCATATTTTTCCAAAACTGGGAGACTGGTTGGAATAGGGCCTTGAAGCAGCAAAGGCCAATTTTAGCCTTGAGCTTGTCTCTTGTCCCAAGGGACAACTAGAGAAGAGGAAAGGGGAGCAACATTTGTTTGTAGGATGTCCTATGCACATGGGGCTTCTATTTGTCTTGCTCCTCTACTATTTAGAATAGCATCTTGATATTTGATGATGTTACTACGTGGAGCAGAACATCACATTCATTACATAGATCAGCCCATTCAGTCTTCAACCGCTGAAGAAGAGGGAGTCATATTTGAGGGATCACATGGGATCGATCACTGCAACACAGAAAGCTTAAGTCACTCAGCCAGGGTACACACAAAATCCATAAAAGGCAGACCTAGGTTTTGAGCTCAGGGAGTTTGGCTCCAGAGCCTGCACTCTTGTCTCACTTTCTTGTCCCCTCTGGTTCAATGACTCCTCAGTAAATGAGCAAATGCCTATCATGTGAGTGGTGGTACACAGCACAGCTGTGGACATTACTGAGCTTCACTTCCCTCTTTGCTGCCGGGGTATGTATTATAATTCCCATTGTTCAGACGAAGAAACTGAGTCTAGGAGATGTGAACTGACCTGGGACTTGTTTTCCACTGGCCTAGCTTGCCTCTGGGGTCCTGTATGACTGAAAGGCTCAGAAAGGGATCCAAGGTGTGCTTTGTTCTCACCTCTTGGTGCATAGAGGGGAGCAGACCTTATGAACTTCAAGAGACTCCAGCATGATTTGGACACTGTACCCCTTCAGATGGTGGATGCAAGACATGCATGGGCCACATGTGCAAGACCAAGACCACACAGTAACTGAGAGGCCATACTTGAGCCTTTGCAGCAGTCCTGTTCCCAAAGCTCCTTCTGGTCTCTCTTGTCCACCCAGGGGTGCCTTGGTCCAGCTGGCCCCAGCCATAAACACATTTCCTCAGGGTACGGGTTTCTTCAAGCTGCAAACTGAGAGGGGTATAGTGAAAAGGAAATGGTCTGTCCATCAGGGAGAAAATGGGTTGCTTTTGGGTGGGGGTGGGGCGTCCAAACAGATTGAGTTACAATGGAGCCCCTGTTGTTGGTATTGTAGTATCATAAGGGTACCTGGATGATGGTGATGATGATGGTGATGATGGTAATGTTCAGGGCAGGGTAGAAGAGGAGGAGGTGGCCCAGCCATTGTGCCTAGCAGGTTCCTCCCTTCCCTTCCCGCATCAGCCAAAGAAGATTGCCCAGTGGCCCCAGCATTGTATGGGCAGCCTATCCCTGCTCCAGGTGCCTGGTGCAGGCCACCTGGTTCCTTGTCCCAGGCCATGTCCCCTGCTCTTGGGCTGGGTCATTTTCAGAAGATGGGGTGCCGCCTTCTAACTGCATAAAGACTCTGTAAGTGTTAGAAGTGGCCTTGAGCTGAGGCACACACGCACCCATGTTTGGTGGAGAGCAGTGGCTGGATGCCATGGTTCATTTCTTTCCTGGCTGGGCTAACATTCTGGAGCCAGAATTAATTTTTAAACTCGAATCTGGGCTTCATTCCTTTCTCCTTTGTGATTTGACCTTGGACCAACCACTTACCAGCCTGTGTCTCAGTCTCATCTAGAGAGTGGGGCAGGGCTGAGATTTATGCAGAACAGAGTCCCTGGGAAGCAGTGGGGCCCAGAGCAGGAGAGCAGAGTCAAGTGAATTCTCTCCCTTGTCTCCCGCTGCTAAACTGTGTTGTGCTCAACCCGTGTGCCAGGCATTAGGGTTGAGAGCAAGCAAAGAGATTCACACACTGGCGGAGGAAGCCTCAGGCATTTCTTTGAGCTCTGCGGTGGAGCCCCCGGTGCTGGGGCCAGTACCACCTTGCCTGACTGTCTGGGAGATTCGCTGTGGGAGCAGAGGAGGTTGCTTCAGGGTCTCTGAGCCTCTCTTTCCTCCCCAGTCTGCTCCCCCTCCCCAAGGCTGCTGAGAGGCTAGGGTGATGGATGGGGCCCTGCCTTCCCCTCACTACTTCTTTGATGAAAAGAAAGAAAAGTCCACCTGAATCTCAAATCAAAAACAGGTGAATCGCCACTCAGCCTGAGCCCTCTCCCTCTCCTGGTCTGCAGGAAGGTTGGGGGCTGAGGGGAGAAGGGAGAAAGTGATAAATCACACTGTCAGGTAGGGGTTCTACCCTTCAGCTGTGGTGAGGACTTCGGACTGCTCCAGACCTGCCTTCTTTCTGGAATGGGTCTGCACCAATCACAAAATGTGAGTAGCAGGCAACTGTCCCTAAGGACTGAAATGCCACAGCAAGTTGCTCCATCTACAGCCCTCCCTCCTCTTCACCAGCATCCACTGCTCTCCCCCACCCATGGGTGCCACAGCCCTTCACTTGTAATCTTCCAGCTTTAGCATGCTCCGTTTGCCAACACCTTGCCCACTTAGGCGTGTGTGTGTGTGTGTGTGTGTGTGTGTGTGTGTGTGTGTGTGTGTGTCTGTCTGTCTGTCTGTCTGTCTGTCTGTCTGTATATAGGCTTGTTCACCTTGCTGTGTGTACCTGGCTAAGTCCTTGGCTCTCTCTGGACTTAGGCCTCTGTATTTAAACCACAAAGGTTTGAGTCTTTTTGGAAGCTTAGAAATGGCAGGCAGATAACAGGGCTTGCATTGGTACCTCAGGAGGGGGCACAGGTGTCCCATCCATTTGTATTTCATTTCTTTCAGTCCGAACTTCTGCATCGGCACTGCAGTGACAGACCCTGCCATCTGTGGATCCCTGGAGTTGGTAAGCAATTATACCAGAAGATTCCTCAGCACATTGTCAGTGTGCTGAGGAATCCCTGGTAAAGCAGCCGGCCTTGAGCAGGAGAGCCCAATCCTGTTTTCTTCCTCTAGCAGCAGGGACACAGCAGGGCCTCATTGTCAACAGTACCTAGCATTTTCAAGGGGGAGGGGTGAGGACAAGGGGGAAAGCTAGGCAGAGCACTCTTTAGGTCTCCTGGGACTGACTGACCCCGGGAAAAATGACAAAACAGATTAGAAGATGGGAGAGACCTCAGAGTTCTCCCTACCTCGTAAAGGCTAACTAGACCCTTGGGAGATGACAGAGGAAAAATCACCAAGTCGGGACCAGGCAGTAGAATAGGCCCCAGGCTCTGGGTTTGAATCCTCCCAGGAGAAGCTAAGAGAATGGAAGAGTTTCTGATACAGCCTGCTCCACACCCAGATTCCAGCAGCGGGATGCTGCCAGCCGACTCCCACTGTCTACCTACAGGGGCCTGGGGCTGTAGCACCCTAGACTCAAAGCCAGGAGCTACTTGCAGTCTCCAGGATGGCTGGACAGGACCCAGGACCTCCCAGTTTGGCTTCTGCCTCTTGCAGTCCCAGCCCTTTGGAACAGCAAGGAAGACACAGGGGAGGAAAGGTGGAAAAGGAAGAGCCAGAGAGGACACGAGGAAGGGGAGGCATGGGGAGCAAAAGCCGAAAGTTCTTAAGGGAGCAATAAAAGAAATGCGGAACAGGCCACTGAACAAGGACTCAGGCAAAGAAATAGAGCGGGCAGGGGACGGAGGGTGTGCGGGTAGGAGAGACACCTCTAAAAGGGACAAGCTGCGGAACAGAGCAGGAAAAGGGGGTCGCCAGAAGGGCAGAGAAAGGACCCCAGCCCAGGGGTCCCCCTCCCTACATTTCAGTGAGCTCCCCAGAGGCAGTGGGGGCAAACTGAAAATGAAACACCTCGTCCCCGGGTCCAGGGATGTGACCCTCAGAGTAAGAGGATTAGGGAGGCTTCCAAGAGGAAATGGGGAGGGTGCCAGGATTGGGGGAGCCGAATGTAAACTCCCGCTGCCCCCCACCCAAGCCTGGAGAAAGCTTGCGGACCAGCACACTCGAGCCGTGGAGTGCCAGTGCCCCCTTGTGGCACAGGGAGGACTGGAAAATTGCTGGCGCGTGGGTGGTGGTGGGGGACTTCCCACATAGGACTTTGGACCCCTGGAGTCCGCAGATGCCAGAGAGAACCTCTGTTTGTACTAGTGACTGCCAGGGACCTCCATTGCCTGTAAGCACCAGCAAAGAGTGAGCGATGAGCCTGGGGTTCTCGGTCTTTGCCTTCCTTTTACTGGAGCACATCAGGCCACCTGCTGGCTGCAGGGCAGGTGAAGACCAGTGCTCTCCCTCACGGTGCCTCCTCCCATCCCAGGTGTGCAGTTCAGCCCTGAAGGTCCCGGTCTCAGTCTTGCATCCGGGCCTCTAGGTGCTTCCCACTCAACTCCCAAGGGCTGCTTCCCTTGGCAGCACACGCACGTGTGCTTACCGGTGGAGGGGTGGGGTGTGCATGTGGGTGGGGTTTGGGCACAGTGACCTGTCTCAGCCAGAGTGGAGCTGGGAAAGTCATTTGCCTGGAAGAGTCAGGAACCTTAGATTTCAACTGGTCTTCATGGTTGTCTTGCTGTGCAATTTTGAGCATACTCTTACCCTTTCTGTACCTCCGCCTCCCTATCTAAGACTGGAAGGACTGGCCTTAATGGCTTTACCATACCAAAAGACAGAGGTTGGCTAAGAAATGGGTGAGTAAGCACTCCACTGTGATTCTGAGAGGTGGTTTGCACAAACCTGAGAACATCCCGCCTAACCCAGAGCTGGAGCCTCCTCCGGTGTGCTCTGTCAGTGCTCCTGAGCCGTATTTGCTCAATGAGGCTCTTGTGTGTGCACTGGGGGGTTCTGCGTTCAGCCCTGCTCCTGGGATGCCTTCTGTCCAGCAAAGGTTCATGGACTAGAGGGGGGGTAGCTCTGAGTTCCTCTTGCCCCGCTCAGAGTGCAGCACCAGGTCAGCAAGGTCTGTTGGTGAGCCCCAGCCTGGGAGAGGAGAAACCTGAGCCCCCTGCTGGCTCCCCAGAGGAGGGAGAGGAGGAGTAGAGTGTAGAGGTGAGGAACAGCCCAAGGATGCACCTGGCTCAGCAGGAGAGAGCTTGCCTCTGTACTGTGGAGACCGTGAAATTGAATCCTAGGCCTGGGAAGGAACGGGGCAGGGCACTCCAGCCAGAGGATAGCCAGCGAGCAGGAAGAATTAAGTGACTCTGGTTTCCAAGACAGTTTGCTGCTTGAGACTGTCTGCTGCCCAGGTTTCCATATCTTCAAAATGGAGGTAAGAGTACTCCTGCAGCAGAGCCATTGGGAGAAATAGGTGAATTAACATAGATAAGCAACTAGAACATTCGCTGGCACCTAGTGAGTGGTTTTATATATATATATATATATATATATATATATATATATATATATATAGAGAGAGAGAGAGAGAGAGAGAGAGAGAGAGAGAGAGAGAGAGAGAGTTTCTAGTTAGTTCTGTCAGGTGTCTTGCTCTCTGCCTTATTTTGTTAATTTTTTGCCTTGATCTTTAAATTACTATTATGTGTGTGCACGATGTGGCGGTCAGAGGACGTCTTCGTGGTGTCGCTCCTTTCCCTCCACTGAGATTGAACTCAGGCCACCAGGCTTGTGTGGCAAGTATCTTTGTCCACTGAGCTATCCTGCTGGCCCACCTTACTTCTTAAGACAGCATCTCCCACTGAACCTAGAACTTACCAATTGGCTAGACTGGCTGGCTAGTGAACTCCAGGGATCTGTTTTGACCCCTCCCCAGCACTGAGTTACAGATGCATCCCAACCATGGCCAGACCTACTGTTGCTATTCTTAATCTCCAGCTTTTAGGTGGGTGCCCGGGATCCGAATTCATGTTGTCATTCTTGGACAGCAAGCACTTTACTCACCGAGCCCTATTCCCAGGCCCCCTGATCTTGACTGTCTTCTCCTTCTGCCTCTACTTCCTGGGTGCTGGGATTAGAGGCATTACAGGCATATGCCATCATGCCTGGCTTATTCTGTGTTGGGGACTGAACTCAAGTCTCCCTGTGTGGTAGGAAAGTACTCTATCAACTAAGCTATATATCCCCAGCTCTTTCGTTGCTATTTTAATCTCCAGGAAATCCTGTCCTGGAACACGCTACTCAGAGGAATTCTGCAATGTTCTAGCTGGCAAGGCTTTATAGATGATGGTTAGAGCAGTGCTTCTCAACCTTCCTAATGCTGTGACCCTCATCCTCAATACAGTTCCTCATGTTGGGGTGATCCTCAACCATAAAATTAATTTTGTTGGTACTTCATAACTGTAATTTTGCTACTGTTATGAATCTTAATGTAAATATCTATGTTTTCCGGTGATCTTAGGCGACACCTGTGAAAGGGTCGTTTGATCCCTCCAAAGGGGTTCAAATCGTACTCCTCACACTGTGATATCCATTGTGAATACGAGTATATTTAAGCCCAGAGAGAGGAAGAGACTTGCTTAAGATCACACAGCAGATTGCGGATCAGCTGAGGTTTCTCTACGGTCAGGCCCACCCCTCTGTCTTCCTTTTGTCCTTCCCCAGCTGGGTATCCTCTGGAACCCTTGCTTGTAGCTGCCTTCCTGAATCTCAGATGGGTCTTGGTCAGCATCCCAGTGGCTGGGCCAAAGCTCCGGCCCAGACTAGGAGCCCTTTGGACTTGGTGGAGGTTCTACCTGGCAGCTGGTTTGACCCTTCACACCATGTCCTTTGGAGTCAGAGTTTTTCCAGCTGGAAGAAGCTTTGAGGTCACTTGGTCACGCAGCCTCCCAACTATCTGCCATCTGCCTCTACTAGCTTCTTCTCCTTAAGCCCTTCATCAACCTACCCCAAATCTCCCAGGCATTTAGCCCGAAATGACCTAGACATCACTGGCCTTTTTCTTATTTTCCTGGGGGCTGCTCTTCCTGAAAATTAACACTGAAGAGGCAACCGGGGAAACAGAGTCATCAGTCCTGTTCTGCTTAGTGGCCAGCTGGCCTTCGCACCTTCACCATCACCCTAGCAGTCCCACCACAGTGCCAGACTCTGCCTTTTCTTGTTTCGACTTACAGTGGCCAAGGGCAAGCCTTGTCCCGGGGCAGGGTAGGACTTCAGGTCCTTTGGCCATCACCATGGGAGGCTGATTCATAGAGAAGTCCCTCAGTCTTCCAGTGATGGCCCTCCCTTGCTGCAGCCTAGCTTGGGCTGGGCTACTCCCCAGAGCCTGGGCTAGACCTGTTTGCAATGATTCACGCCTACACACTCCCACTTCGCCCCTGGGAGCCAGCTCTGCACTCTTAATAGATCTTACGGTTAAGAAGTTTTTCCTGCTACTCAGCGTTAGTGCTTAAAGTGCAGTTACACTCTGAAAATTGACCATAAAATGACACCATGGGGTCCACATTCATCCTCCAGCCACGATTCCAGACCAGCTTGGTTCAGTTTTCACTTTGAAAAATGGCTTTGGGGGGCTTCAAACTCCACCCAAGTCCTAAATCTGCTTCAGGGCTTCCTCTCCATGCCGCCTCCCGCCCCCAGGCTGGGAGAGAGGCAGCCCTTGAACTGCTGAGGTGGCTAGCCAGGTCCAGCTCTGCTCAGAGGGTTCCCGCCACAGCTGGGTGGATATGGGGGCACTGTGGGAGGGACAGAGACTTCAGACTCATCTGGATGGAGGCCACTCTTCCACGGTTTGGCCAGCTGTTCGAAGACTGAGGGCTGAAATCGCACTCCCCACGATCTTCTTGTTACTGCTGTGGCAGGGATGAGGAGGCACATGGTGAGGTGAAGGTGGGGGCCGCAGGGTTTTGGGGCCGATCACTTTTCTCAACTCTGAACAGAGGTCACCTGAGGAGGACCCTCCCTTGCCTCTCTGTCCTGTTTACTCTAATGAGCTTGGTTATTTGGCTCCCAAGCCCTGAGCAAATTAGAAGCAGTAAATCAGGGGTGGGGGGTGGGTGGGGGGGCAGAGGGGTTTCTGGAAGCAGGGCACACTAAAAGTGTCAAGACGTGAGAGCTGACAGCCTGACAGCAGGGAGTAGCAGTGAAGTAGTAAAACAGAAAACAATCCAGGCCAGGTACAAGCGTGTAAGGAAGGCAGACAAGCCAAGGCCTCATGATGCAGGAGACTGCCAGGGCAAGGTGCCGGTGGTGGGGGCGGTATGGTAATGAGCAAGTCCTTAGGAAGAGTAGGCTAACAAGGTAGAATGTGTTTCCTAAACATTTCCATAAAAAATAACTCACTGCCGCCTGGCATGGGGTGTGGTGGCATGGTCCTTTAATCTCAGCACTCAGGAGGCAGAGATAGAGGCAGGTGGGTCCCTGTGAGTTCAAGGCCAGCCTGATCTACATAGCAAGTACCAGGCCAACCAAGGCTACATAGTGACAATAAAATCCAAACCAAAGCAACAACAATAACAACATTGAACTGGGCGCAGTGGTACATGTCTGCAGCACTTGAGAGGCTGAGGCAGGAGGATCCTGAGTTCTAGACTGCCTCAAACAACAGCAAGAAAAGAGACATTTGATCTGGGTGTGCCTATAGTCCCCACACTCGGGAGGCTGACCTGGGAGGATCTCAGAGCCCAGGAGTTTGCAGCAAGCCTGAAAAGATAAAAGACAATCGCCCCCGCCTTGTTTTTGAGACAAGAACTGCTGTGTTGCCCACGCTAGCCTTAAACCTCTGGGCTCTGGCGATCTTCCTGCCTTGGCCTCCTGAGTAACTGGGACAAGTGGCTTACGCTAAGGTACTGAGCTAATTGTGTTTTTAAGTATGCACTCACGGGACTGAAACTTCAGCTTTCAGGCACGTTTGCAAGTCCCAAACACCTCATTCCTTACACCCCTACACAGCTGACTTTCCCAGCCCGTTAAATAAATACATGCCCACTGGCTTTGGAGCCAGTCCTGAGCCTCAGCCTGGTTCCACTGCTTCCTGTCCAGAGGACCCTGAGCAAGTCACTTAACCTCTCTTAACTGCTTCCTCTGTAAGACTTTAACAAGAATACCTGTCTTGCACAGCTTGGAGGTTGTCTGGGATAGTTGAACCTGAATGTCCCACCCCCAGTGCACAGTATGGGTTTCCTGGACAGTCCATCCTTTCTGAGCACTGCTTCTGGAAATCTGAACGTTAGGGATCAACATGGTTAGGGAACCCTGGTCTCGGCCATGCTCGCTCATCAAGGGTCAGCAGGACAGGGGCATCTGCTCTTGGTCACTGTAATGTGTGGAGCTGACAGTGGCGGTGACTCTGGGTAGGGTTGCTGTGTGTCACGAGACAGGGGAGGAGGAGTTCTTTGGGAGAACTGACACTCAGAAGATGTCTAGCTTTGGAACCAGACCTGATTTCATTTGTCAGTCTAGTGCTGTTTCCACAGTCCTTTGTCTACCACCTTTCTGGAACGAGATGGAGCCAGGCATCTGTCTTCCATTCTTGCAACGTCCACAAACTTCTTGTCTTTTGCTGTGCCATTGCTGCGGCCTGGAGGGGATGGTGTTTCTTAAAGACAACAAGGGAAAATTTTCAGCTGATCTCTGAACAGAGGGACCTTATTGCTTATGTCTCTGGAGTAGCAGTGCCCAAGGCAGCAGGCGTTGGGTACCCCTCCTACTTGTAGACACTGGTTATGTCTCGGCTACACCTCATGGCTGGCCTTGCTTGCCCTGCGAAGCTTTTCTTTTTCTGTGGCATTTATTTGCATCTGACCCCTCTTCATTATTCCCAGATTAAGTGCCAGATGCCTTTGACTGGTGCCCTTATTGCTAGGGATGCTGCTCATAGAAAGCAGGAGGCTGTGGGACCCCCAGGAAGTGGCAGAGGCCGACAGGCTTCTTGGCTGTTGCTGCCATCTTCACCCCTAATCCCATGTTTCCATGGTCTGGTTCCTCCTCCCCCCCATCTCATGACACACAGCAGCCCTGCCCAGAGTCACCTCCACTCTCAGCTCCACTGCGCACATTCCGGTGACTGAGAGCAGATGCCCCTGTGCTGCTGACCCTTGACGAGTGAGCATGCATGGGCTTGGGAGACACTCAGACCCAGTTTTACATTCCACTTCCTCCGAGTCTGGGAGGGCCGCTTTCCTTCATAAGCCTCAGATCCTTCTATTTCCCGGGGTTGCAGTGGAGAAGATGTGGACGGAAGAACTGAGCTGGACATCTAGGATCACAGGACTGGAGAGATGTGTGTGTTTACATAGGGGACACTGTTCAGAAGTTTGGACTAGGAAGGGCTCATGCACTCCTGGTGAGATAGTCCCCATTTTGAGAATGGGACACTGAGCTTCTAAGATCACTGACTTACCTTATGTCCTGTAGTGAGGTAGTAGCAGAAGAAGGATTCAAATCTAGGTGTCCTGACTCCAAACATTTTTTTCTTAACCAACTCTGCCACAGTGAGGATTTATGAGGCAGACGGGGGCCAAGGTAGTCTGTCAACTCTATGCTGCTGTGCAGTGTGTGTGTGGGTTCTCATTTGTGAATCATGGTAACAGCAGGTTTCCAGAGACCCCCTGGGCATGAAGCTGCTGAGTAAGACCTCCTGGGTCCTGAGCCTCTGGCTCATCCCTCACAGGCCTCCTGTTTCCTGGGTTTCCAGAGACCCACCGGTGTTCCTCTGGGCCTGGGCCTTTGTGTGTGGAGCTTCTTGCCTGGAACCCGCCCCTTCTGGGACCCAAGCCTGTGGAAGCTGCTCATTGCCTCTGCAGCTGCCAGAAAGGGGACATCAAAGGGGCAGCACGTGGGCGAGGCGGCTCCCTGCTTTGTTTGGAGAGCTTGTGGGTTCTGTGGTGCACATGCAGGCACGCAAGGAGGAGAGGGCAGGGACTCTGGCAAGCAGGCGGCTCAGGAGCTGCGAGCTCGGGAGGGGCTGCAGAGGAGCGTTGGGGAAGAAAGCTGTGGCAGGGAAATGTGGCAAGGGTTGGGGAGGAGTAAGGGGGAGAAGAGGCTGTGCTGGTGGGGGCAGCGGGGAGGGCTTGCTCCCTGTGTTACACTGCGGGGCTTCTGCAGGGAGGCCCTGGCGCTGCTGGATGCATGGCATCAGGCTGTTGGAAGGTTGTGGGCCACCATGACTTGGGGTTTGTTTTATCCATTCATTCATGCATGCATGCATTCATTCCTCTACTCCTCCAACAGCTCGTTATTGAACCATCGAGTACGGAAGAGTGGCTGCAGAAAGAACTCTGCAGTCAGACTCCCCGTGTTGAACCCTGGCTGTGTGCCTAGGTTAAACTTTCCTGTGCTGAAGTGTCTGCGTGTGTGAGGTGGGTATGATAATAGTACCTACCTTAGAAGATGGTTGTGAGGATTCACTGAAATAGTCTGTGTACAGTGATTCCAACAATACATGACACATGGTATATGCTCCAAGAAAGACTTGGGATTGGGGCTGGAGAGATGGTTCAGCAGTTAGGAAGACTTACTGATCTGCAGAGGATGGGAGTTTTGTTCCCAGCAGCCTCATTGAGTGGCTTACAACGGCCTCTAACTGTAGCTTCAGAGAATCTGATGCCCTCTTCTGGCTTCTTTGGATGCCTGCATGCATGTGCACATATACACACAAACTCACATAAATAAATAATAAAATATTTTAATTACATGGATATGTGTGTGGGGGTGTATGCATGTATAGGTGCATATGCCCACAGAATCCAGAAGAAGGTATTGGATCCCTCGAAGTTGAAGTTACAGGCAAGTATGAGCTGGCTGACATGGACACTGGGAACCAAACTGGGGTCCTGTGCAGGACCAGTATGTGCTCTTAACTACTCGGCCCTCTCTCCAGCCCTACTAAAATAAATTGTAGGAAAGACTTAGGGGTGGGTGTAGCTCATCAGTAGAGCATTTGCCTACCACATGCAAAGCATTGGATTCCACCCCAAACAAAACACACACACACACACACACACACACACACACACACACACACACACACACACACACCCCAGTTCCATGAATTCATTTGTTTATGCAGCCACAAGTGGGCACAGGCATATGTATGCACACACACACTCTGCCAATCCTTGTGTTAGGCACTAGGAGATCAGATATGATAAAATGGAAAGAAATCAGGTACTAGGGGTGCACACATATAATTCCAGCACTTGGGTGATCGAGACTGGAGGATTAGGAATTAAAGGCCAGCCTCAGTTGTATAGTGAATTGGAAGCCAGCCTGGGCTGAGTATGGAGACCTGTTTCAGAAAATAATGATGATAATAATCAAAGTAAGGCAAACACAGTCATTACCTTCATGGAGCTGTGTTATTCATCCTGAAGACCCTCTAAGGGGGCTTTGCTGTTCTTCCTAGAATCTTTCTAAATAGTCATAGAGGAATTAGTGTTCAAACTGGCAACACTGGGTCCAGTATGTAGACTCTGTTCCTCTTTGCTATGCTTTCTCAGTGGGCCCAGGCCAGGCCTGCTACCTGTGCACCTTTCTCCATCTTCCTGAAAGGCTAGGCTTATGAAGTCAGGTGGATGGTGTGAGCACAGTGCATTTCATCAGGAGCACACTTCTGGAATGTTTCCTTATGAAATGGTGGGAGAAGTCAGGGTTTTCTAAGAAGCAGACTATTTGCCTCTCGTCCCCTCTAATTTGTCATTCTTGGCTTTCTGAGCTAGCCCACACTGGTGTGGCTACATGGAACAATAGCTACAGAAACCTGTGCACCCAGACACACATGTACAAAGGCACAGATGGATACAAAAAACCTGAGGGAAAAGTCCATTGGGAATGAAAGAAGATAGACCTGGGGCTAAGCTGTAGCTTGGGCATGTGGCCAGGGCAATGAAGTACGGCAAGCATGGCCTCCATCCCCAAAAGAAACTGGCCAGCCCCCAGGGGCCATTTGTCCCAGCTAAGATGGTACTTGCGGAACATGTATCAAAGTGTGTCCCAGAAAGCCTGAGCACCTGGGATGGATGAAAGATTGATATAAAAGATTGTATGTCCAATATGTATGGAAATGTCCAAAGAACCCAGTGTAAATCATTTTTGTTTCCTTACTGCAAGACTTCTCAGAGCTTTCAATAAGCCAACAAATATGAAAACTTGCCAAGGGCCTATGTGTTTGTGTGCCATGTTCTATCATATTTCCCATACAAATTTGACCACGCAGTCCTCTTGCTGAAGAATGGTTTGGGATAGGTGCTCATTTTATGGAACAGGGCATTGAGTTTTTATCAGGGCCTCATCTCTGTTCTTTTTTTCTCAATCACTCTCACGTACTGGCATCTTCTTGTTCAGTTTCTCTCTCCCTTACCCCACAGGGTCATGCTATGTAGTATGTAGCCCAGGCTGGCCTCCAACTCGAGATCTTCCTGCTTTAGACACATAAGTGCTGGGATTATGTGGTGTCTGCCATCAGGTCCCAGCCTTGCTCAGTTCCTTTTTACAAAAAAAAAGTTTTAATTTGTTCTTTGGCAATTTCAAACATGTATGCAATGTATCTTGATTATGTCCACCCCTCGACTCCTTCCCACTCCCTCTAGGTACCTCCACTTCTCCTCCCACTTCCACCTCCATTCTTGCCCTCTCCTTTTGATTTTCTGTGGTCCCCTGAGTCTAACGTGTGCTGCCTGCTGGAATACCTTGGCTTGTTCTTGTGCAGGTCTTACGCACAAGATGCAATGAGTTCATGAGTGCAGTGGCTGTATCATGCCCAGGAGACACCATCTCGTGGACTCCTAGCTATCCTCCAGCTTGCAGTCTTTCTGCCCCTTCCACAGTGTTACCTGAGCCTTGTGGGGGATGATACGGATGTCTCACTAGGGCTGAGAACTCAATAGTTGCTTATTCTCAGCACACTGGCCAGTTCTGAGTCTGTATGAGTTGCTGCTCAGTGCAGAAAGAGTCTTGCCTGGCTAAGGTTGAGAACAGCACTAGTCTACGGATAGAAACACATAATTACAAGAAAGTTTGGTAACATGTCCATTTATAGAACAAACTAAAGCTTATGATGTCCCAAGCAATGCACGGCTGACTAGAATTACAGTACCAAGCACGAATTCCCTTCTGTGGAGCAGGCCTCCTCAAATACAATCAGAAAGCATTTGGTTACCTCAGAACTGCCATGCCACTATTGCCACAGTCGGCACACTTTGCCTGGCAGTGCAGTATTGTACCAGGCAGCATCCAGTACTAGATAAGACCATTGATAACTTTTCTTCCCCAGGGGTCTTCACAGTACCTTCTGGCACTATGAAATCTAGGCAATAGAGAAGAAGGTTTCTGATTAATTCTAGCTTGATTTCTATATATCCTATAACCAGTGTATTGCGTTTTCTGTAATAGGGTCTTGCCCTCTACTTATGGTGGGCAGCAAAGGCTTGCTCAGTTTCTTATGAACCAAAGTAGAAGTATCCTGTGAGTCACAGATATTGCCATCTATCATCTTCCCTGGGTCTACAACCCGCCCTTCTCTCTTCCCTGCTTTCCATATGCTTGCAAAATTTCTCACTGAGGACTTAGAAGAAGGCCACTCACTCTGCCTTCAGACCTCTCTGTGGAGGTCTTCCTTCGAAGCATCTCAGTGCCACAGGCCTGATCTCAGGACAGTGGGCAGGGATACAGTGGACAGGCCCTTCAGTGCCTGTGGCCAATGCTGTTCCACAGGAAGCCTTCCTGCTCATTACCATCTGAATCATTAGAGCAGCACCAGGCCCGGGAAAGCAGGGAGAGAGCTGTGCAAATTAATGAGTGACCAAATTAAATATGTTCCGTCAGCCAGCAAGCTGTTCCAGTCAATCAGCTGAGAATGGGGAGTTTGAAAGTGGGAAGTCACGGCCTCATGGGCCAAACACCTTAAGAGAGACACCTCCTCCTGATCCTTAAGGCAGAATCTGGTGAATAGGACTGCACAAGACACACGAGAAACTCACTTGCAGTTGGCATTTCATATTAACGATACATTGTTAGTACAAATACAGCTCATGCAATGTTTGGGGCATACTTATACTGAAATATTCTTCATGCTTTATTTCAAATTCACGTTTGACTGGCAATCCTGTGTTTCATTTGATGACCTGAATTTTCAGGGGCTGGAGTGCCAAGAGTTGAGGTACAGATCCAGGCTGGAATGTGGACAAGAACGTCAAGTTCAAGGGCTGAGCTAACTCTTCCCTCCGTGAAGAAGGCTAACTCTCTCAGGTCTCTGATGATCTTTGAGGACGTGGAGCAGGCAGTGAGGAGCTGGCAAAAGGGAATTAGGAAACCGAGCAGCAAGTCCCTCTGCTGCTGCAGTCCTTTCCATGGAGCAAGAGAAACAGATAGCTAGGTCATGCCGGAGCTACCCCTGCTTGACTGGTGAGAACATGAAGGGAGTATGTCTGCTGCCCTTACCTGCAACAAGCTTAGTAACACTCATGCTGGGAACAGCAAGCTGTATGGCACCTACTCCAGATGGTACCATGTGTGCCCACTGCTTACCTTTCCCACAGAGAGGGCTTGTGAAAGTATTACCCTGTGTGTGGCCTGGAGACATGGCTCAGTTGAAAAAGTGCTTGCTGAACAAGGACCCGAAGACCCGAGTTCAGATCCCAGCACCCATGTAAAAGCTTGGCTGGTGTGTCTGTAGCCACAGAACTGTGGACCATGGAGACAGGAGGGTCCAGAGGTCTTGCTAGCAACCAGTGAGCTCCAGGCACAGTGAGAGACCCTGTCTCAAAACAACAAGGCAGTAGCAGGACCTTTAATTCCAACGCTTAGGCAGTAGAGGCAGGAGGAGCTCTTTGAGTTTGAGGCCAACCTCCTCTACACAGAATGTTCCATGCCAGCCATGACTACATAGTATCACCCTGTCTCAAAAAAAAATAAAGGTGGAAAGTGATAATGGAAAACAACTGACATCAACCTCCAGCAGCCTCATGCACCTGCATGCACACACATGCATGTTTACCTACACCCACATGCACATGTGCGCACATGCACACAGACACAGACACAGGGACACAGACAGACACAAGCATGAGTGCGTGCGCACACACACACACACACACACACACACACACACACACACACACCATTCTAAAATATACTCTGCGTACAGGGAGGAAGGAGTACAATCCACCTTAGAGACAGGGAAATGAAGGCCTAAAAGTTTCCAGCTCAGTCAATGCAGGAAATCCAGCTTCCTTCAGGAATCTCATGCCTCCTTCCTGGCTCTGGGTGGATCCAGATGGGAGCAGGCAGCTCGGCCCCACGTGGGTGCCTCTGTTGCCAGTGATGTCACCAGAAAGGCAGCTTGGAAGAAGCCACCAGCTGCTGCCCACACTCCCCTCTCTGTGGGCAGAGAGCTTAGAGTTAGACATATTGTGAGAGCAGATGTGGA